GGAATGCATGTTGGAATCCCACCATCACCGCACATCTTTCCCCATTATATGTGTTGAATGGCAGCCTTTTGTGATTGGCCCCTTCCCCCTTCCTGAAGATTGTATCTTTGTATTATATTCAATAAAAAGGAAGTAAAATGAAAAAGAAAAAAATCAAAAGATCAATCAATCCGGTCATGCCTGTGCACCAAGTAATAACATGACTGTTCCGAACACACTGAAACCTTTTACCCACACACGGAAAGCGGTTCTTCACCTATGCTGTTCCTTTGGGGCCCAAATTCTCAAACTGTTAGGCTAACCCCCCCCTCCCCGAGCCCCCACTTCACCACTAAAATCGCCGGTCAATCAAGCTCTGCGGCATTCTTATCACGCAGAACATCGCACGCACTTTTGGGAATTTGTATTGGCGAGATTGTCTCGCACAGAATCCGGCTTTTACGCTGGACCGGCTGGTGGTGTAAAACACGGGATTGATAAGTTCTATTCAACTTCGGAAAATCCCACTATGCTTATGGTTCTTCTATTTGTTTATTCACTCAGGAATTCAGCCCTACTAGCATTACAAGTACCCATCCACGTTGGTTGACCTTCCAGCAATCAGTGTTCTGTTACAATTTCCCAAGACTTTCATTTCCCTCCATTCATAGACAGTTCGAAGCGAAGCCGATCGTTGCTTTTTTATCCCACCCAATATACCATACCGCTCCCCAGTTACCCACATCCCCCGGCGGTTTACTCAAAGAAGGCATTCAAACGGTACACTGTGGTTTAGCTGTTATTAATCTTGTCGCTGGTATGTATTCCTGTGGATTGTATCATCTCTTGTGTGCTTTAAAAAAAAGATTTTTTCTCCCTTTTGTGGAATATTCAATCGATCAAATGGCTGCCATACAACATGCAATGGGGAAAGTCAGGTGATGGGTTTCGAACATAAGTCTTCCGGGATGGTGACTTTGGTGACTTTACTACCGGGTCACTACTGCTCATATGATATCAGTGCCAGTTTCCTTTGCTCTGTAAGCGTAGAAATATATAGATATAGTTGCTCAAAATTCCCTCTACTGATCCTTCGTAGTAAGTAACCTGGTTCCAAATGTTTCCACCCAGGTCGTAACCTTATTGCATTAGGTGGTGTATAACCATTTGTTGAGAACGGTCTAAAAAGCCAGCTGTGAGGTTTCAATCGTCATTCGAGTCGAAGGATTCGCTCGGCTGATGAGGCTCAACCAAATCGAAACAACTATCCAGTGCTTCCTTTCAAGCACCTTTCACATTGTACATACGACAAAATTCGCCCTCCTTTTTCCTCTATTTGTTTCTCCCCCTATCCGGCGCCATATACGTGCGCGTCTGTTCACCCGAAGGGAAAGGTTCCTCACACACACACATCACGTGTGCACCCACGCGCCATAAAGCCACGTGGATCGGTGCACCCAATTTAGTCATTACGTTTCAGCTAATCAAGATAGAACAGAATCGTCCACAGCACCGTGTTGATAACCGTAGTGTGCGTGAGAGAGAGAGTGGTGGTGGTGGGTGGGGGGACGGGGGTTCGGGGAATAAACAGTACGATACGGGGGTAGGTAATACGTGAATGGAGGAGCTCGATTGCAGTCGCCTCAAACGCACATACATCATACTCGTCTAGCGTAGGATAAACCCTATAGTTTCAGTAAACAAACTTTCGAGACAGTAAACGGCATGACATCTGTCGTGTCTCACGGAATAATTCGGTATTGCTTGGGAGACCGAGGCGGGGTGGGATGTGGTGGAAGCTGAGTATCGTCACAAACAAACAAACGTCAGTCATTTCCGTGCGACTCGAAACGTGACTACGAATCTTCGCTTCAATTTATTGACTTCAAAACACATTAAAGTGATATCCCTTGTGTTCTTTCGTACAGTAATTTTTTTGTTATCACCACGCGACGGGAAGCTATGAATCGTGGTTATCACGATTTGCGAATCGCATTTACCCGATCGATAAGGACCGAGTTTATACGAGTTGAGAACAAACAATCGATCGTGTAAAACACCATGCACGAGTACCACTGGGCTGTGCATTAATCTTTCTGATACCTATCTTGTTTTAATCCCCACTCCACCCCTAGTTGCGCAACCCAGAGGATGGAAATTCCCTCCCCCCGGAATACACTTCGTCTGTTCGGATTTTTTCATGTGATGACCCTCCCCCCCGCCGCCCTTAATTTATCGCTGTTTATTTGGTAGAAACGCACACCGCGGTCGCTTGACGTGTTCCGATTTGGACAACCTTTTCTTCGTTTTCGCGTCATTTAAAAAATTATCGCATTCACTGTAGACGAGGAATGTTTGGATGAGCCCATTCCATCTTGGGTGTGGGTTTCACTCCTTGGGTGATCGTCGATTTGTCACGGGGTAAATGCAGTCAAATGCGATGAGGTGATGACCGACAACGAGCACTGAACGGCAGCTGTTTTGTCCTGTTTTGGGGAACTCGTCAACGGTACGTACGTCTTGTGCCCTCAGGTCAGGACTCGAACCGCGAACGTTCGGGTCGGGATTTCAAACCTGTGTAACACCCCTTCGCTGCAACCACCGTGTACACTTCGTCTCTCTGGATTCTATTGACTTTCGTGTGATGGTCTTCACCCCCCCACCTATTATTTTTTCTGTTCATCTGGGAGAATCGATCGCTTAGTGTGTTCCAGTTGGCACAATCTTTTCTTTTGAGCCAATTAAATCTAGTCTCACATTCGTTCTCTGTGTGATTCAGCCGCGCCACTTCATTTCACTTATTTTCTCTATTGAGCGGTTTTTGTTTGTACATAGAATGAACTGTATTTTTTTTACTGCTATCCGTAGAATGCATTGGAGGACGTGAGCAGTTCAGTTCAGTTCGAACAACCGGTAACCATGTACCTTCGTGCAGTGGTTTTCTTTACTGTCTTTTGATTACCCATTTAGGTGACGAATAGGAGGAAGACTGGAATGTTGAAAGTAGAGAGAGAGAGAATGAAGAATTTCAGTGGTCTAAGGTTGCTAAGGAACTGAGAAGATGCACGAACGCCACTGTTTACGACACTCAGCCATATCACTCAGTGTCTCTAACCATCGGTTACTATCATCTCGAGGTCCCCATCCAGGGAGCCTAACGGGATCTATGCGACCCAGGATACTGATTAAGGATTTCATACCCCCGTTGACCACCCTTGGCTTTTTTTCCACCCCCTACCTGCCTTGGCAAACATCGCGCTTCGTGGCAACCTATTTGGCGACATGCGTAACACATGCCTCCCGGTGGGCGACTGCTGTTACCTAAAACTTTGTGCCTACCTTCGGCATTGCTCGTCCGGCTGCCCCACCAGATACGGTGTTCAAACACCAACAGTCTATCTTTATCCTGTCTCCTTAATGGCCAACTCTCAGCATTGTATAGTAGCACTGGCAGAACTGCCGTGACATACACTCGATCCTTCACAAACAACCTGATGTCGCGACGGCGCCACTGACTTTTTTCTAGGTAAGCTTTACACACCCGTAGGGTGAATTTTCAGCGATTTTTCATGAAAATACAGTGGAATTGAGGTGGATGACCTCCGAGTGTGAATAGATTAATTAAAACAACAGAAAACTGAACGCAAGAAGAAGATAGTGATGGATAAAAAAACGAATAAATAAACTAACTCATGAGGTGTTCAACCAAACCTGTAATAATTGGTGCCCGATTTACCAGAAAGCGAGCAAGAAAAGGGAGGATACTTTTTCCGTATGCGACGGTGCGTGCGACCAGGAACCTATGATGGAAGCGGGTACGGGGGTTTGACAGGGATTTAGTAAGTTGGTTGTGCAAGCAGTGATCTTCGTTGTTCAAGATTCTGTCAGCTATTCGTTCACATGCGTCGATATGTTTGCACACAATAAAATCAATCAGAACTTCTCTGGCTGTACCGCTACATTGAGAAAGGAGTTTTATGGACCTGGAAATTGATACGAAATCTTGTTGTTTTAAGCCGGGAAAAATACAGGGGAACAGTACAGGCAATTTTAAAATTACGCTTGGGGGAACAGCAAGCTTCCTAAGCCTGAAAGCACGAGTATAAAGTTTACGAACCTTGTTGTAAACGTTCTCTTCATGTAAGGTCCAAGAGAGGTGGGATAAAACGACTTCGAGGCATTTAACAGTCAGCTTTGAGAATGCTGTGACTGTTAACTACTAGATCCGGTAAATCATTAATGGTAGTTCGATAGTGGGAGCCAGATTTAAGGCTGAAGGGAACGTCGGCACATTTGGAAACATTAAACAAGAGTGATCGGAGTAGAGACCAGCTATAAACGTCATTCAGGCTACTTCGAAGTTGGTGGAAAGAAGCATCAGTATTGGAGGGGCACCCAATCACCACATCGTCCGCATACTTATAGGCAATAGAGTTGGTAGGGCCAGGCAGGTGGTTTGTGTACAGGGAAAAAAAGAGGGGGAGACAAAATGGCCCCCTGGAAAACACCAGAGTTAACATAAGAAGAGAACGACGTTTTATCATTGCATGAGGTAAATTGTGTCCCAGAGGAGAAGTAGTTGACAAGAACTTTTAGCTCGTCGGATCCTAAGCCGCAGTGTGACGGTCAAGCGAACCAAAGGCGTTGGCATAGTCAAGAAAAATAAGGCGCACAGTTCCAGCACTCGTATAATAACTGAGGCCGCCGAATGGACAACATACGCCACAGTGTCAACAGTCGAAAGGGATTTCTCATAAGCAAACTGAAGAGTATCAAAAACATCAGAGAGGGTAGTCAAACGGTTCAACAGCACTCTCTCAAAGACTTTCAACAGGGCTGAGGTACGTGCAATCGGTCGATATTTTGAAGAACCCTTCTTGGGATCGGGTCTTATTCGGGCAGCCCTCCAGCAATCAGGGATTGTTCCGGAGGACATACACAAATTAAAGAACTCTGTAACGGGTGTTGCAAGGTGTTCGGCACAGGTTTTCAATAAAATAGGGGCTAATTAGTCCGGTCCGTGGGCTTTGTTTGACTTAAGTTGCTTCAATACTTTGAGAACCTCGGTCGGAGAAACAGGCTTGGTGTTGTTATTGGTTGGTGATGTCTCAATTTGGCAAATACCAACCGAGCCTTCTGTATGCGAGCTGACACTTCATCCGTGATACGTCCACCGTGTGAGGTGTAGCTGCCCATATAACAAAACTTATCCACTTGCGGTGCTAAGTCATCATGCTCACGTGACCAATATCCGAAAATTATTGAAAAGCATGGTAAAGCTTGGATGATCAGCAGAAAGTAGATTTCATCATCACACTAGGTAAAGTGAACCCTCCGGGCTCCAGTGTGCACGGAGCAAAGCACCAATGTAATTAAACCTTGCGAATATCCTGCACATCTTTGAAAACTCCATTTTGAACGATGTGTTGTCCCGAATATTTTTTCAAAATTTAGAACTCGCGGACATAGCTTGCTATAAATTGGTGATCATTTCGAATCTGTGGTCTGTCAAGTAGGTCAGTGTCTGTGGATCGATATTGCTTTCTTATGCAATACCCACGGTTTGGCTTTTGCCATCCCACTCCCGAAGATGACGGTAATCATTCAGTTAGGGGTATTTGATACGTGACAGAAAAATTGGAAGCTGTAATCGGACCTTGTCAGTTGCAGCGAACGGGTCATAAAATTTTCCGTTTGCGAATTTGGTTGGTCTCAGTGTTTCACTTTTCTTGTGGCATTGATATGCTTATATCTGAGCTTTGAGTAGATAATAAATCTACGGGCCCGTTTTTCTTGTCATCTCGCACGAATTTCACACAAATGCTTCTCAACATGATGTGGTTATCCCAATTGTCGGCAGTTCAGTGTATTTTTCGAGCCCCCCCCCACTGGAGAAATTCACCTGTGATATCCATTTCTATTATTCGATTATGAATGGGTGACGGTTTATCGATCAGTTTGGTCATTGCTGCGGTCTTCAAAAGTTCGGTTAGGGTATCAATGAGTCTTTGCCAAGACACCAGTAGATCGAACTATTCTTCCGTGAGATTAAATCGTTTGGATGGCGCAAGGTTTTGCAATTTTCTATTCCTGTGATTGACCTCTTATTGGAGTTTTCGTTCAACCCCGCCACGTGGAAACCACACTTCCTGTTCTTTTCCAACCCCGCCGCAGAACTCTCTGTTTATATTGTTCTCTCCTTTCCCTTGTTCACCAGATTGAGATGTTCTGCGAAAAAAGGTCTACCGGGTGGAGAAGAAGGTACGACCACTCTACTGTCATTATTTGCTCGGTCTGTTTGCTTGGATCCGGTCATCTACCTCGTAACGGCGTTTAGGGAAGGGTGGATGTGAAGTCGTTCCTTGTCTGCAGAATCTAGCTGTAAACTAGAAATACTGTTTCACTAGACCGACCGATACGATACCACGCTTTTCGGATTGCGTTGCCTCTGACACTTCTTCGATAGTTTCACCGTACACTTTAGAGTTCTTTGTCTATTATAGGGACTGAGTTTCAACAAACAAACCGTATATCGATCGCATCACTGACTTCTATTCTGGGCCATATCTCTCTATCGGTAATCTTCATCTTTTGGGCCTCGGCGTGGAAGGCGAGCTGCACCAGTCAAAGCCAATACTGAGGATAACTCCTTCAGATCTCTACGCTATGTCATGTTCTGACCGCCGCGACGTTTCTTCCAACCTTTCCCGGCACGAACAAAAAGAGCACGGGCAGGTAGACGATAGGCAGGCACACGCGAAATATGACCGAGTCATCGGAGGTGGTGTAGAACGATTTCTTCTGTTAGAACGGCTATCAGTATCCAGTGCACGACTACGAATTTCGTCATTGCTCACCCGATGTTCCCACTGGACACGAGCAATACTTCGAAGGCATCGGTGGTCGAATACGGAATGTCGATTAGCACCCTCCGCTGGGAGAGGCCAGGTCTCTCAACCATAAAGGAGAACACTACGGACCGCGACGATGTGCACCGTTCCCTCAAGGGACAGTCGGATATCATGGCGGCGCCACAGGTGTCGCAGTTTGGCGAAAGCTGCTCTAACTTTCACTATTCGTGATGTGACCTTTTCCCCAATCCCACCTTCACCTGTGATTAAGCTCCCGAGGTAACTAAAGCTGTTGACCATTTCTATCTGATCATCAGAAACAGTGACTGCACAGCTTCCTGCCAGTGCTGAGGAAGCACTTTGCACTTGCATGGTGCAAAAAACATACCGCATATCTCTATCGCTAAGTGTTTTAGGGCCTGTTGGACTGCCAGTGCATTGTCACCCAACATGGCGATGTCATCGGCATATGATAAGTCCAGAACTCTGTTCCCTGGGGAAGTTCGACTCCACCGCTTGTTAGACCGGACAAAGCGTCTTGCAGGAAATTCTGTACGGCGATATTGTAGAGGATTGGGGGTATTTGGTAACCTGGTCGCACTCCACTAGATACGTCGAAGGGTGGCGAAAGCTGGGCATAGGCCCTAACCCGTTTGTCTCGGTCTTCTCATTTCTAACACCCTTGCTTGAAATCACAGTATTTAAACAATTAATCCATAAACGGGTGTTTGTCTTTTTTAGTTTCGTTCATGCTTGAATAGTACTTCATTCTATCGTTCCATATTGTTTTTTTTATTCCGTTCACAATTTTGCAGAGCGTTTCTGTGCATCGGAAGAAACGAATATGAAGAAGCGATGAAATTGTTCCAACACGTCCTCGAATTGGATCCAACCAATGTGGCTGTAAGTGAAGCTGGTCGCATCATGTGCTCCCTCAAGATGTCTCCTCCTCCACCACGATCATATTGTTTCACAGTCATGCTCCGCTGGTGTACAGGAGTCAGACAACTAGTCTAGAAACTAACCCGAATCGGCCGATTTGGAATGACATGAAAATGTTTTTTTAACCTGCTTAGTTGGATCTCTTCCAAGCTGTTGGCTATTAATGCGCGAACTAACCGGGTCCAACCGATACCATTCGGTGNATTGTGCATAGTTTCAGTTTTTACAACCAATAACCATGCACTTTCGTGCACCGAAAAAGTTTGCGACTATAACCGATAGCCGCAGCCTTCTCCATCTCTCTACATTTTTCTACCCACCACTTCTCGCGGTCATTCCTCAGACTCTTGATGGGCGCTTTGTCGTATTTTGAATCCGAAAGAGTAGCTTCATGAGCGTCTAGCAGGGCAGCCGAGGTCGGGGAGATCCATCGTTTTTTATTTTGTCGTGCTCCGGAATTTGCCATTGTTTTGATCGATATTTGGATCGCTTCTTTGATTGCCGTCCAGTGTACAGTGAGTCCTCCGGCTGATGGTTGAGCTTAGAGGCGATCTGATAGTTCCGCTTCGAAGGTCAATGTGGAACCATTGCTGACATTGTATCTTGGGCATCCGTTTTCGTTGGCGTTTATGCGGTTGTTTACTGGGCGTAGAGAGAATCTCGCTCGTAGCAGAGCATGGTCCGTGTCCACGGGTGTTGATCATTAGGAGCGGCAGCCCTCAATGGATCCTCACCAGCGGTGGCTGGTGGCGATGTGGTCGATTTGAGTTCAGCGCTGTGAAGAGGTTGGCGGTCTCCATGTTGGGTGGTGCGAGAGGTTAATGCTTGATAAAAACAGTCCGTGGTCAGCGCAAAGTTGGAGTAGGCGTTCTCCGTTGTCAGTCCGGTTAGCTGCGGTTGCATGTGAACCACCAAGTCGCCTTTCTGATTCGTCCAGACATCCCACTTGAGCATTGAAGTCTCCAGCGACCACCACGATGTCCGCTGACCGAGCACTTTGGAGCAGTTGAGAGAGGTCGTTGTAGAATTCATCCTTCATTTCTGGCGAACTTCAATCAGTCGGTGCATACTCGGATACGACGAATAAGCAACGACGCTTCGTTCTGTAGCTGTTGTTCCGTACTGAACCATCCAGACATACAGCGCAGTCGGCTGCTAACCAGGATCCAGTCGAGAAGTGACTCTCAGCACTATCCCAACATCGCGAGCGGGGGATGCCGATACACGGAGAGTGAAGCGTGAGGTTGAAGCTGGATCTGGAGATCTCAGGGTGATGCTTGATGTACGGTCTTGTATGTGTTTCAGGAAACATAACACATCTAAATTAAAAGCTTCAAGGGCTCTAGCTAAGGCAGCTTGTTGACCGATCTGGTAGAGTGTGCGGACAATAAACGTGGCTAAATGAAAAGCAGACTTTGATTTCAAAAGTCTAATGGTTTCGGAGTGGTCGCACTCACTAGTTGAACGCTGAGTGGTATCCCATTGGTGGTGCAAACAGGATGCATTTCTTAAGGTTTAGGAGCGAGAAGAAGAAGTGGACAGATAAAAAACGATGGTTTTTCAAATGGGTACCTAAGACTTTGTGTCACGACATACTTTGCGGTAGCCCACACCGACGAAGGGGATTTTCTTTGGGAACGCTAATCGGATCCTTTGAATCAAAAGTGTAACCCACGAGGCAGTGGGGCATTTAGTGTACACAAAACCGATTGCGCGCCGGTGAACGAGATTTCGTATACTGTTCCGCCTGTTTGTCCCCTCCTGTGCAGTTTTCTGTTTCCAGCGTGACCTGTACTACGGGCCAAGACACGGTCAGAGATAGTTTTGACTTTGGTGGTTCGACGAACAGAATGCACCTTTGCGATTTTCTCCCTAGCCGTTTATTGTTTTCGAAAAGCAACTCCGACTCCGTGAAGTCGCTCTTTGCTGGGCGGTGAGCGATCAAGTTTGTGAAGGCCATTTTTTCCCAGCACCTCGGTTGACCAGATCACGCCCCGGTAGAGTAGTCAAATTGTGGAGCGGACTGCCCGCCTTCAACCAGTTCCGGAAAATTATGTCACAAAGAACAAGACTAATCGGTTCTCTCGGAGTTCGTTTTCCTCATTCGCTGAGATATATGACCGTCATATATTTAAGGGTATTTTCTTTTTTTTTTGGGGGGGGGGGGCTGTCTTAAGTCGAGCAGCTATGTCCTGTTCCCGTGAATACGAATACTTGTGTAAGTGGTATTTCCGTCTGTTCGCGTCAGGCTAGTGCACATTTCATCCGGGCGGGAGAGTATTCAGCCGCCGTATCTCCCATCATTTGCGTCCCGACTTCGGCTTGTGAATCCTGTTGACCGGTACTCGTCACAAATGTGCACATGTCACTAAGGGCTTTTCTATGCTAGTATGTGACCGCGTTTTCGTAAACTCTGGTGGTTGTGATTCTACTTGTCCTGTTTTGTTGTTCGCACGCAGAAGCAACCAAGAAAATAACGAAATGGCCCAACAAGTGGGGAATTGCGTTCAAACATTTGTCAATCCCATACGCAGCTCAAAGTGATCGATTTCGTCGCCGCATTCCGAACCAACAACAATAACAGAGTGAAAAGAATCTTATCAGGATTGTAAATCTACTGTACGATAGGGCCATTACACGAAATTTTCACGCTACTAACGTATCTGAATCAGTGGGCTCTCAGTGAATGCTACTTTAAAAGCAAGTTCAGTATCCATCAATATCCTTATGAATTGGCATAGAATAGACAAAGAATTTCTCGAATTAATGCACCTCAAATGTTGGCAGTGGACTGTATAGTTTTTCACCACGAAGGTTCACAGTTCTAGTCCCGGTTAGGACCAAGATGACAGAGCACTTTTGATGGGTCCCACCCAACACGAAAGAGGTCAGGTTTTCGTGGTCTTTGCCGGCCACTGCACCGTACCTGACCACCAGCAGCAGCAAGCTTTCGCTTGCATGCTCAGTTTCGTTCGGCAGCTGGGGTCGCCATCTTTTGACCATAGTTTGATGAATACTAAAAGTTCTTCACCTTTTCCCATCAAGCTTTAGCCAAAACCCGCAATCCTTTAGCCTCGAC